TTTTACTAAATGGTCATGCTGCCAAATTGACTTTTAAATACCTGAGTACTCTTAATTTTAGTCAGAGAAGCTTCTTTGGTATTGGGTAGCCAATGCAGAGACTAATAACTGACCAAATGTTGATACGAGATTACAAGTGCTGAATCTTTAATATAACATCTTTATCAATGACTCCATCCTCTACCAAGCCTCCAGGAGCATCACAAGAGAGTTAAAAATTGAAAAAAGCTGGGGAAGAGTGCTATGAAATATATTGTCTTCTGTACATAACATGGTTATTGCACTCAAGAACACACACGGCTATGGTTATGTGGACAAGATCTACAAGAGGTCAAGCCAACTAAAATTCCAGCATAGATGAATGCAGAAGGTGCTATCCAGGCCCCATCCCTAATTGAGGATCTGGTGGTTGATAGTACTCTGGGAAAGAGATGGCCTCATACTAAAGACGTATGAGCTGCACAAACTGAACTTAGTGGATTGTCACACACAACAAAAAAAAGACATGAAATTGAAAAAAGGATGTGTTGGTGATACAGGGGGATTTGGAGGAGAATGGGGTAGATATGTGTACATATGTCATATGAACACACATATGCAATTGTCAAATAATAAACACCTATTATCAAAAATAAATTCTAGCCATCTGTCTGTCTAATAGTCAATCTCCTTGTGTAGGGAACAGTTTCAGCTACTAAGACCAAAAAACTAAAATATTATTTATATTGCTGTCCGAACGAAGCAGGAAATTGTGAAAAATTGCATCTGTGTAAGTTATTAATCAGCTTAAGAAATTACCATTTTCTGAACATTATGAGAATACCACATCCATAATCTCTTTACTATTGCTACCTCTAATGCCCAGGAAAATATTCTATAATTATTTAAGGACAATTCAGGAATATGTAATATCATAGAAAATACTACCAACAGAAGACAACTTAAAACTGCTGTCATAGTTAAGTAAAATGAGATAAGAAAGACAGTTTGGGAACAATTTTAGAATTCAACACATATTTGATTTAAAAGCTATTGGGTAGTTTTATCAATACACAGAAGATGGTAGTAAAAACATAATCATAAAACTGAAGGTAGATTTATGGAAAGCATCCAATTTAGAGAAGAGAAGAACACAATGTCATCTAATAATGTGATATATAACTGTATTCATGACAAGGAGGAAAGGGGAGAAGGAGTTGGGTACAAAGTATTGTTATATATATATATATATATATATATATATATATATATTTGTATATAATAATATATAAACAATAAATGATCACTCTCCAAAAGTGGCAAAAGATATGTATTTCATATTAAAGAAGCCTAATTGGCAGACATAGGATAAAAGTTAAGAGTCTTATACTTAAAATAAAAAGGTATGTATGTAATAAAAAGTTATTTAAATATGTAAATATCAATATGAAAATAGAAGTGCAGAAGGCACTAAATTTTTTAAAGACCATGAAAAATTCTGAATCCATTAATAATGTGCTTTTATAAGTCAATTAACTCAACATAAAATAATTTCAAGAAAGAAAACAAAATTGTCATGAGCAGGAGTACCTTACATGTCATACTGAAGAAATGGCATCAACATAAAAGCAACATTAGAGACAATTTTATACTTAGAAGTGATAGAAACACTTTAGATAGGAATTTTAATTAGGAAACAATTTAATAGTATTTGAAAAATAAAAACCTATCTGTTGTAGTTATCTATTTTGATTACAGATGTAATACATGTGTCAAATACAGAAATATTTAAATACTAACTGTTGTTTAATATTGCACATGTCTCATAATGTGTGGATTTATCTCATGTATGAATTGAGCATATTAACAAGATATGTAATATCACCACATAAAGTCATTCCCAAATGAGAAAACTATAATCTGTGACATGAATAAAGATACTAGATTTAAAAAGTGATTGTTTATGTTTTGACAGCCTTGTATTTTTTATTTGTATTGGATTATGCATTTTTAAAGATTTTTAAAACTTTGTGTATTTATGTTTATCTGAGGGTGCACCTGTTGGTGGTGCTCAAGAAAACCAGAAGAAGGCATCAGATCCCTTGGAACTAGAGTAACAGGTGAGTGGCAAGATGCCTGATATGGGTGCTGGAAATGGAATTCAGACCCTCTGGAAAGCAACATGCACTGTTAACTGCAGGGCAATCCCTGAGGGCCTGGATTCTACCTATTAAAAGAATCTATATGAGATACCTTAAATATCACCAAATTCAGAATTAGTTAAAACTTTTTGTATTTTTTTTGAGATTATAATATAATTACATAATTTCTCCTTTCCTTTTTCCCCTATAATCCTTCCCATACACTCCACCATGCTCTTTTAAATGCATGGCCTTATTTGTTCATTAATTGTTGCTACACACACACACACACACACACACACACACACATATATATATATATATATATATATATATATATATATATATATATATATATATATATATATATATATATATATATATATATATATATATATATATATATATATATATATATATATATATATATATATATATATATATATATATATATATATATATTACTCAGCCTATATGATGTTATTTGTATATGTTTTCAGGGATGATCTTTTGTGTTGAGTAACCAGTTGGTGTGCTCTTCCCTGGGGAAAAACATTTCTACCACTTGCTGCATCCCTTAGTTGCTTGTAATTCTTTGCACAGGATTGAGGCTAAACCCATCATAACCTAGTGAGGTTACTATATTGTAGTAATAGTTGGTCCTATTTGTGAAACTGGTCCCTTGTTGCAATAAAGTTGGTTTGCCCCTAATAATAATTAAAGGTTCTAAACAAAAGCATTTTTACATCATAGCCAAAATGTATGAAATTGCATCTTGCTAATAGCACTAATATCATCCCCAAATGGGAATATCTGCCTTTTGTTGAACACAAGACCATCTATGATAAACTTTAGCAACAATGTATCACTTAGTTCTTAAGTACATACTGCTCTTAAATTAATTCTATGAACTTAGATTCAGTATCCCTTCTCTTAAAATTCGCAGAACTGAGATACAAAAATAGCTAGGAAATAAGATACCCATTATAATCCACAAGTTCACAAGTCTAATGTTTATGTTTATGTAAATCTTAAATTATTTCCATAGTAATATCCATCACTGAATATTTAATTTAATGAAAGTATCACCCATTTCTTCTATAGGGCATACTTTAGTAATATCAGAAAATACATTAAATATTATAATACTGGCTGAATGAAGTTATTTAGATAATGAATAAAGGACTGAATGAAAGTGTAGCGCCCCCCCCCCCGAATATCCCAAAAGCTAGGGGGCAGTCCATAGAGCTTTTCTGGTAGTTCTGAGTAGGCAGGGGAATACTCTTTTTATACACTGTGAAGATGTGTCACTTGGATTGGTTTGGTAAATAGCTGAATGACCAAGAGCTAGGCAGAATTTTTGGTGCAGGGAGGATGCTGGGAAGAAAAAGGCAGATATGCCAAAAGATGGAGAATGAGCAAGACATGCAGGAGGAGAAGCAAAAGCCATGAGCTACATGGCAACACATAGGTTAATAGAAATGGGTAAGAACTAGTTAGGAACCAAGCTAAGCTATAAACTTAGTATTCATAATTAATAATAAGTTTCCATATCATGATTTTGGAACTGGCTGATGGGATGCAGAAAGACTTGCAATAAAGCACTACAAGACAGCAAAGAAATTAGCCCAGCCAAAAGTAAAGACATTAAACCATCTAATCTGTGTTAACCTGTTCAGATCTTTAATTTGTCCAGTGTCCAAAGGGCTTGCAGCATCCCAACTGTTAGCTAAACAGACCTGTTGGGGTGCCAGGAATTTGAGCATGAAAAGTTGTTGTGCTACATTTAAAATCAGAGATATTTTAAGAATTAAATAGTATATAAACTTCATGTAAAAAATGCGAAGGGGTACAGACCCCCTGAATGTGGGTGTCAGTGAGGAGACCTTGGAAATCTATGGGGCCTCTTGTAGTGGATCAGTACTTATCGCTACCATAGGAATGGACTTTAGGAGCCCATCCCACATGGAGGGATACTCCCTGTGCCTAGAACAAGGGGGTTGGCCTAGGCCCTATCCCAAAGAATATGACAGACTTTGAAGACCCCCCTATGGAAGGCCTCACCCTTCCTGGGGAACAGAAAGGGTATGGGATGGGTAAGGCGTTATCTTGGGGGGTAGGGGAGGAGGGGAGGGAGAGGGACCTGGGGTTGATATATAAAATAATTTTCTTGCTAATAAAAAAAGAAAAAGAAGCTTAACAAGAAAATAAATCCTAAAAAAAAGGACTCTACATCTCTAATCAATTACATGGAACAAACAAAAGGTTAAACCAATAAAGAAATAAAGATAAAAGGAAAACAGTATGTTCAAGGACACAAACCTGTTTGATCATTATGGAAATCATCATGAGGACTCTAGAACTGTCATATTATACAGCTATTCTTCTCAAGTATATAGACTCAAAGGAATACATAGCTATAGATGCCCATCTATGTTTACTAGGGCCCTATTACCAATAGACGGGCTATAAAATGGGCCTAAGTACCCATATATGGCTGAATTAATTTTAAAATGTGATGAATATGAACAGTGGAATTTGATTTGGCCATAGAGTGGTGGAAAAGTATCAGGAAAAGGGGTAGAATTTAAGATATCCTGTTAAGTAAAATAAGCCAAATTCTCAAAGTCAAGTAGGCCAGGCTCTCAGCCACATGTGGACTTTTTGGTGAGGGACAGAAAATGAAAGACAAGGATAGAAGGAAAAGGGGTGTAGAAGGAAGGGAAACGATGTGGTGACTGTGATGCACAGCAATGTCATAATCAAGTCTTTCTTGAGATAATTAATTCTGAGTAATTTATATATTTGATAACAAAATAATTGCATAGACTACAAAATATATCATATAACTGAAACAAAAATAAATTTCAAAGCTTTTACCAGATATGTTGCCATTGTGGTCCCAGAAGGGAGGTGAAGGACCAACCACCCCACTTCTTCTTTCCCAAGGCAGTGGACTCTGATCTTGTGTCATGCCGCAGAGCCCATCCTCAAAGTCACACCTTTCATAGCTCTGGCCTATTGGACAATAAAAAGAAATTACTTTTCACAACTTCCTTTCTCTTGTATTAAATAATACATCGATTCAGATTCTAAGAGGCTAATGGAGAATGACTGTGTTTCAGAGCTCTAAGTCTACTCATGAAAATCCTTTTGTACATGACATTTTAATAAATTACCGTCACACAAAACTGTGTGCACTCAAAGAGAAAGACTGTTTCTCAGAGCCATAGGACTTGGGGTATACTGTGAATTTGAGGTCCCATTATCTGAGTGACTTGACCAAATCCTTTAGCCACAGGCAGCCTTTCCTTCACTTGTAGGATTAGAACATCAACAGCCCAACTTGTTCCCTTCAAACTACTAATCTGAGGATCTAATAACATTATATGCATAACAATACTTTACAGTCTCAGAGTACCATAAAACACAAGGGTTACTGTTACACTAAAATCTTCATCTAAGTATTGCTTTGCCTGACAGCAGAATTTCAGGTTTCAAAAGAGCAATCATAAAGCCTCCCTGATACACACACACACACACACACACACACAGACAGAGAGAGAGAGAGAGAGAGAGAGAGAGAGAGAGAGAAATAGTTGCTTAAAAAAGGCCTAAACAATGACAATACCAATAGACATGCTAATACAGAAAGGTAAAAATCTCACAGGAGTCCCTGCCCTAGATAAAGAGGTACAGGCAACTAATGACTGCTGAGAGGGAGAATTTGTCTCTCCCAAGGGTGATCCCCTTGATTGGTTATCCAGTACAACATGATCAGCCTTAAAATCATATCCGTACAAACAACAAAAACAGATTCATCAGGTACTTTCTGCATTGGTTGGCATGGATATGTCTTCCAGTTATTTCTCTGTCCTTCCATTTGTTCTGTTCATTCTGTTTTATGAGATTCATTCTGGTGAGCTATCTTTCATTTCTGCTCTGGGGAAGAGGCTAACTCCAGTAACATTGTTTCAGTGTTAACCACAACATAGAGCAGCATGCCTGCCATAAAGTTCAGAAGTATTGTGTACATTGTAGTTTATGTTTGTTTTCAGCTTTTTAAAAAATATTTTAGGGTCAAATGTATCAATTGTAAGTAAGGAAGTAGTGGGAGGACTAGAAAAGGAGGAACACAGGAGTGAAGAATGAGAAGGAAATTATATAGAGGTAAGATTCAGTAGACAAAACATTTTATATTAGGTTTAGAGAAAAAAACAACAAAGATTTTTACAACAAAAAAACAGGAGCTGGAGATATGGCTTAGCAGTCAAGAACACTGGCTGTTCTTCTAGAAGACTTTTTGTGGTCTCCAAAGTAAATCAGAAAGTCTAGCTTAAGGTAAGAAAAAATAGAGAGAAAATAGTTTCTCTAGTGTGCTGTCATTACTTTTAGGGATCTATTAGCTAATGTGATCAGAGAGAGAAGAGTCCCACATACCATCATGACTTACTTTTGAAAGGAAGATTGACCTAAAGTTATTAAAATTCCTGTGTAATGAGTCATACTATAATGGGCACAATTTTTTTTGTACAGTTAAGTTTGAAATAATTTAATGTTCTCAAGTGGTTGCTGCACTTTTGAAGTGGTGTTTCCTATGGTGTTTGAAAGTACTTGTGAGTTTACTATTTGTACATTTTCTGTGGCTTCAAATGCCAGTCTATTTAAATAACAAAAATATTGTATCCCATTGTAGTTGTTTTTGAGATTTTATATTGTTTCATGTATGTATTGTGCATGCAGTGCCCAGAGGGGCTAGAAGAGGGCATCAGATGCCCTTAGGATTAGACTTTAGACATTTGTTACTGCCATATTGGGGATTGAACCCCAGACTTCTGGAAGAGCAGCCAGTGTTCTTGACTGCTTATAAAAAAATCAAGAAATGCAAAAGTTTTGTTTTGTTTTACATTTTCCTTGGATTTAACATCTTAAAGTTTCAAAATAAAGTGATTTAAAAATAAAAAAAACAAAGGGACTGAAGAGATATCTCAGAGGTTAAGAGGACTTCTTGTTCTCGAAAGGTCCTGAGTTCAATTCTCAGCAACCATATGGTGGCTCACAATCATCTGTAATGAGATCTGGTGCCCTCTTCTGGCCTGCAAGCATGCATGCAAGCAGAACATAATAAATAAATAATCTAAATAAAATAAAAAGAAAGTCAACTGTCTATGGTATGTACCTTTGGAATTGAGCATAGCCTTTTGGTTGAATCTTAGCATTGGGACAAATATTGGTGCTTTAATCATAGCAGGGGCATTTCTGGCTCCCTTTCCCCTTCAGATACTGAAGAAGACTGACAGAAAGAGAAGGATCTGAGGACATGGGTTTTGGTTGTTGTTGTTTCTTTCTTTCTTTCCTTAATATGAGTAGGCTAGTATTCTTTATTCTACTGTGCAACATCAGGAGATGTCATGTTCTAAACTTTAAATTTCTCAGATGTAAATAGCTTCCTTGGCTGCAAGCTTCACAGTGATGCTTGTCCTTAAACCACTACCATCCAACAACCTTAGCTCTTTGCACAGTGCTTTCTTCCCTAATTGGATTAGCCACAGTGAGCATTAATATGCTTGCTGGTTTTCAGATAATACATGACAACTCAGTGACAAAAACAATGATTTTCATTTAGTCACTTTTTCAGATGTAAATATGATTTAGTCATAATCATGTATATGGTGCATTTTCTTGACATCTTTTCTGAGAATGAACAGGTAATGTAGAAACATCTCTTTTTTAATTTTTATTTTATCTTTACCCATAGCTTGCTTATTTTGGAGGACTTTGCTAAAGAGCAGTGTTCTGTTACACTAGCACGAATCCTCAGTGCTCACTAAGGTCATCTGCCCTGCAATAAACATTCTCCGTACAACAGTTTAGATCCTCAGCAGCCCCAGGCAACTGGCATTTTCTGAAGAGGAATCTGAGATGATTTCTTCTAGGGATTAAAGGTAACTTTAATAAATTAGGACAGCTATTGAGGATGGGTCAAGACTGGAACTCTGTCTTGTTGCTTCCAGTTCCTGAAGCCCTATTCTGTGGCCTAATTAGTTTAGTTCTTTATGATGTTTTCATTAAAGTTATAGAAAAAAGTCACCAATTCTAGCCAACCTAAGGAAACCACTTTTTATAAACATTTGGCACCATTCTATCCCAAAACAACAATATTAGTCTATGAATTATGCCAAGTTAAACACATGATTTCACAAAATCTTTGACATATTTAGGTTATATGATTGCACAAACACTGAACTAAAAATGGAGTCAGTTGTATAAATGTACAGCCATACATCACATTCCCACTACTCAGCAGAGGACTGAGTGCAGAGGCAGATATAAAGTGGTTATTACAATTAGCATGTTATATACAGACAATAGACTATAACATCTTGGTTTATGCTAGGATATGCACAGAACTCTGAAATCATCTAACAGTACGTTTCTCAGAACATGTCCTTGTCATTAATCACCATAAAATTGTGTGTTATCCACTCACAACTCTGAATATATTTGCACAAATGTTTCCATTTTTCAGATTTTATTTTGGTTTCCAATTAAAAACTGTTCTTTTAATCTCTATATTTAAGTATTTGTGTGCATAAATGTGCACACATTCTCACAGGTAAAAAATGTTGTTTTAATACCACCAGATTACCTTCAACCTTCAGTACAATTGTTCTGTTTGCAAAGTTGTTTGTTCCTTTCCACACAGAGGTAATGATGATTTCTGGGCATGTTAAAGCTAGAGAAAAATAGCTAAATAAAACATCTTTCCCTTCTGAATAGTCTCAATGGGGGTTCTTTTTGTTATAAAGTGAATCTAATCAGCACACATTTTCAACTAATTTTGTTTGAAAAAGCAATCAAGAGCTACTAGATTATTCAAAGGCATCCAAAATTTTCATAAGTATTCATTTTCCCGCCAGTATAGAATTGCACTTCCAAACCATTTTTGTAAATTTCATAGAATTCTGGATGTTTTGTTTTCTAATTCAATATGTGACTCGACATTCAAATCTTAAACAATCTGCTGTATTAAAATCCGCCACTATGCAGATTGTTACTAATACAGCTACCAATACATTGTGTGGGTTAAATCACATTTGGACAAAATAATGAGCAACGAAGTACACAGGCAATTCTAGAATTCCTGTGTGTTTTTATTCAACTTATGAAACTCATCTTTTCGCTTTTACTTTTATGAACCCAAAGGTCAGACCTCCACTAGCAAAAGAGGGAGAATGCCTCCATGTTGTGTTTTAAAGGATTCTTGGAAGCCCTGATTACCTTATGAATCAGCTTTCACAATACCAAACTTGATCACTAAGGAATTTCTGAAGATTCTCTCATAGAGTCAATCTTTTAGAAAATAATACAAAAAATATCCAATTATCAAAGTTGGTTTCAGTCATGCTTCTGAGAAAATGGGAAGCAATACATTTTTAGTTGTGATAAAAGTGGGGAGAGTCAGATAACCCAGAACTCAGGAGGAATTCAGGAAAGTATGCTTGGGGTACATTATTAAAATACAATGGCCTCAGAAGAAAGAACACAATGGAAGAATGAGGATAGCACTAGCATAAAAAAGGAGATTAGGTGGAAAACATCAAAAGCAAATCACATTTCACAGTTTTCCTAGGCTTCAGTCAGAAAAGCTCATTTTTCTCTCCCTAAAAGTTCTCAGAAGCACAATTGTAATCTTCGATGAGTTTAGATAATGGAAAATATGTATTGCCTAAAATTTATCATTTTAAGCATATGAGCCTGTGGTGTTTATTTTTTACTTTGTTATATCACCATACATTTTAGAATGCTTTTCATTTTACCACACTGAAATTTTAGACTCATCAAACTACCCCAACCCCCATTTCTTACCACCCCAAGTTCCTGGATGTTGTCAATCTTCTCTGTTTCAATTAATTTGACTGCTCTGTATGGAATCATACAACACTTGTTTCGTGACTAACTTACTTCATATATCATATTGTCTTCAAGACTGATTTATAATATGTGTCAGAGTCTCC